CAAGTTTGAGAAAGACAGATGCACCCCTATGTTTATCGCAGCACTATTTACAATAGCCAGGAAATGGCAGCAACCTAAATGTCCATCAGTAGATGAATGGATAAAGAAGATGTGGTACATATACACTATGGAATATTATTCAGCCATAAGAAGAAAACAAATCCTACCATTTGCAACAACATGGATGGAGCTAGAGGGTATTATGCTCAGTGAAATAAGCCAGGTGGAGAAAGACAAGTATCAAATGATTTCACTCATATGTGGAGTATAAGAATAAAGAAAAACTGAAGGAAAAAAACAGCAGCAGAATCACAGAACCCAAGAATGGACTAACAGTTACCAAAGGGAAAGGGACTAGGGAGGATGGGTGGGAAGGGAGGGATAAAGGCAGGGAAAAAGAAAGGGGGTATTATGATTAGTATGTATAATTAGCATGTAGGGGAGGGCATGGGGTGGGCTGTGCAACACAGAGAAGACAAGTAGTGATTCTACAGCATCTTACTATGCTGATGGACAGTGACTGTAATGGGGTGTGTAGGGGGTATGTGGTGAAGGGGGGAACCTAGTAAACATAATGTTCTTCATGTAATTGTAGATTAAGGAAACAACAACAACAAAAAAAAAAACTGCAGGGGCCTTATCTTTGTGGTACAACATCTTACATATGACTTTGATACCTTCTGTACCTGGCTATAAGCATTGACTTACATAGACTTATTTAAATAAACAGTAATGAATTGCAGCAATAATTTGTTTTAACAACTCACATTTAACAAATATTTTTGAGATAGCTTAAAACATCTGGGTAACAACAGACATATAGCTGATGATCTGCTCTTCAACTAATTATGCGATCTTGGGCAAGTAATTTAAAGCCTGTGAGCCTTAACTTAACCACTAGTCTAAGTACAGGAGTTAATAAACTAGATCAGTATTTCCCAGATTTCCATCATTCATATGCCACCTTCAAGATACCACATCTGATTAGCACACATAATGTTGGGTGGTGCACAGGAAAGGCAGTATAGCACAGAGAAGACAAGCAGCGACTCTATAGCATCTTACTACACTGATGGACAGTGACTGTAATGGGGGATGTGGTGCAGACTTGATAATGGGATGGGGGGAATCTAGTAACCACAAAGTTGCTCATGTGATTGTATATTAATGATACCATAAAAAAGTTTTTTTTTCAAAAAAGATACATCTGAGAATCATGTGAAACATCTAATTAACTCAATTAAATAATATTTTAAAATAATTTTAGCTTTATCCTAAGCAACAGTCATCATGACAAAGTAAGTTTGGTGAGACCCATGGTCTTTCCAACAGACATTATATATAACCTTCAAAATAAAAAAACCTTAATCCATGTACCACCTATAACCATCTCACGATACCAAAATGCACTACGCGTATCACAGGACTTTGATTGCACCTCACACACAATGACAGCTGATGTACAGCCATCTCATGATTGATGCTTCCACTATCTACTCAGTTGTGTTCCTGACTTTTATGCCATACATGGTGTATTATTATTATCATTAAACAGAGCACTCAGCTGATACCTCTCACAAATCTGTTCCAATTATACACAACAATGGCAAATGCATTTCATTTTAATTCCTATAAACCTTGTTGGGAGGCATATGTCAACAAAGAAATCAGTAATTTCCCCAAGGGAGGCGAATTTCTACCTGAATTCTCAATTGCTTTATGCCGCTTATTTGGAAGGGCCACAGATATATCCTCATAATCAGGGTCAGTTTCTTTGATTGTTCGCTTGATTCCAGACATGATGACATTTATTCTTCACTGTGAAGCGACAATAAATTAATTAATAATACTGCTTGATACTAGTACTTATAAACATATGTGTAACACATATAAAGGGAACACACAAATATTATAAAATACCAACATTTGTTAGTCTGTAAGTATGTACATATCCTTTTAAAACCAAAAGAATAATTAGCTTCAAAAGTTTACAAAAAAAAAATCATCACCATCATCTTTTATAAAGCATGAATTTCCCTTTCAAGAGAAAAATCTTTAACAAGGCAGCACATTGTTCAGACTTTTCATAAGGAGCCAGGCTTTTACAAGGACCCTCGTGAGGAAAGGAAAAAATTAGACTGATGAAAGCATGGTAAGCCCACACAGTATCTTGGAATTCACAATTCATCTAACATATTATAAAGTATAAGCGATATAGTTTAGGTCTCAGTGAGTAATTTATTACACAAATCCTCTCTCTACTATTTACACAGTGCCTACTATACAACAGGTACTCAACAAATTACTGTTAATGATCATTTATTATTACTCCTAATAAACACAAACTGTACAGACTTATGTTAAACTAACAAGTTTACAACACGGTAAACAAGTCTTTGACCAAAACAATCCCACAAATCTAGATCTGCACTGTTCCTATATATTGGATGCTACCCATATGTGGCTATTTAAAGTAAAATTAAATTTAAAATTCAGTCCCTTTCATTCACATTTCAGAACTAGCCACATTTCAAGTGGTCAATACCTACCAGTGGTTAGTTGTTATTATATTGGGCAATGCAGATACAGAACATATTTATCATTACAAACAGTTCTATTAGACACTGCTCCTCTTCCGAACAGTGTTTGATTGAATACTCACTAATATTTCATGAGACAGTTTAGGAAATGTTGTCCACACCGGCATTGTCCAAATGAAAAAAATGTGAACCACAAATAGAATTTAAATTTTCTAGGAGCCACATTAAAAAAAGGAAAATGAAATGGGCGTAATTAATTTTAATATTTTACTTAACCAATGTACCCAAAATAGTATTTTTCCAATAATGTAATCAAAATAAATTTGCAATAAGGCATTTTACATTCTTACCTGTGTACTAAGTCTCTAAAATCCAATGTGTATTTTACACTTAGAGTATATCTCAATTTGGACTAGCCATGTTCCAAAGGATCAATAACCACCTGTGGCTAGTGATCCCCTTATTGGGCAATGAGGGTCTACTGACACACAGATGAGAAAAAAGGTCCAGGGCAGTTGTTCGAGTTGGCTATTAGAATGTTACCTGTGACACAGAAAAGACAAACAGAGCCCCCTGATTTCCAAACTTCTGCTCTGCCACTAATGGAGACATTTACCTAATTAAAGGCAAAAATACACAATGTGTATTTATTGAGATAGTAAAATATTTTAAAATAAATGAAAATAAAATGCTAACTCAAAAATATTTACTTTTTACTCACTTGAAGTTAAAACAGAAATAAAGTTTTAAAAGTCTCTTGGCTCTTAGTCCATTTCTTTCACCTATCCCGGAGATAGCCTCACTTCAGTGGGGAGAGAGACTCATCGTGTACTAACATATATGTAAATCCTGGATCTAAGAATACTTTTTCTATAACTGTTATCTTGTGTAGTATCCTTAAATTTAATTGTTCTAAAATCCTCCTGCATTTATAAACATCCTGAATCAAGCCATTTAACGTTTGTTCACCATCACTACCTACCTGCTCTAATTCAGAATATAAATGAGTCTTTATTTTTGCAGAGGCCCTGAATCCAAATATTATTTTCTGTTTTTAAAGCTTATTAAAAGTGACAGTAAAGTCTTGTTCTTTAAGCCTTCTCCATTTGGTCTGCAAGAAGTTTTAGACAACCTGGAAAAATCATAAAGAATACATTCTTACAAATCAGCTAGACTCATTCCTTCTTCCTTAATGCAGAGTGGAAAAAACCACTTCCTATTCTCAGATAAACCTAGGATCAGAGATAGATACACCCACCAGATCTCCAAATCTGTTTCTGCATCATACCATTTCCTCGGTGACCACCTATTTTCTACAGTTGCCAAGAATCTTATGATTTATCCGTAAAGATGAGTGACTCCAGCATCATAGTCATTCACCCATTCTACGGGCCTCATAATCTGTACATTCTCTTCCCACCCCCAACTAATCTCAAGAGCACAGTGACTTCTCCCCAGAAAGGCTAGGGATCCTTAAACAAAACAGTATTTATTTTACCCTCACTAAAGGGACAAAGCAAAACTCTCTTTTGACTTTTGCTCTTGAAACTGGGGGAATAAGAAAAAAAGTATTTGGTGGTGGAGGGGTTAGGGTGGAAAAAGAAGAAACCACCGAGTTCACTTGTGCTGCCAAGGTAGTTCTTATTTCATGCAGCCCTTTATTGAAGTTTTTCCTGTCATCTTTGGACAAGTATTTGAGCTTCCCATAAACACGTTTAGGAAAATTTAGGTCTGTACTGAGCATTTCATAGTAATTCAGGTCTGCTTCTGTCTAGCAAGAACAACACTAAAATATACACATGCCACATTCAAGTATATGCTAGCTAAGGCTGGCACATCTGCCGAGCATACTCTCATCATAATGTAATAAAAAAGTGAATGGAATGTGTAACAAATGACCCATGGTAATATTAAATTTTGGATTCTTCTTGTCTGACTTTGAGATTTATGAAAAGGAAATGTGAGCAGTTGTTAGATATTGTGAGAAAAATGTCCTACTAATCCTCTTTAGGCTTTGAATCAGGTAACTTGAATATACTGAGATGGTAAATGAGAACTGTTAAAGAAAAATCTGTTACTCTTTGTAATTTTTCTGTGAGAGATTTTCTCTACATCATGGGACCAAACCCAAGGACAGAAGTACATGTAATGCTTATTCCTCCAATTTAATGTTTTTATCTTACTGAAACAACATCATTATAAAAAGCAAACATTATTAATTTAAACTCTTAAAATGCACATTTTTCCCCATGCACAATGTAAGAGAGCAAAATTACCCTGTACCACAGTCATTCAAATAACATAAACAAGTCTGAGTTTTTGAAAAAGGTAAAAGACTAAAACAAAACAAAGCCTTTTAATGTTCTACATTTAAAAATAAACCCCAAGAGAAAAATAATTTTAAAAAGAAATTGTATAATTAAAAACACAAAAATTACATAATACAGAATCATTAGGATTTCTTAAAGGTCTTGATTTTTGTGTCAGAGAAGACCTAGAACCAAAAGAACCTAGTCCCCGACAGGTAAAACAACACATCTTATGAGATATTCCCAGTTCTTGGGGGAAGAAATAAAATCTGATAAATAAGGTCCTTGAAAAATCTGCCATGTACTGTGAGGTATCTTCTCAATATACAATTCTATGATCTTCATAGCATTTGAGTCTCATTAGAACAACTGAATTTTGTGCCCTCAAGACAATTTTCATCTTATTTAAAAGGAGGCACAAAGAGGAGCAATATTATCATTTCCCATGTGCTTCCATACAGATGGATGTTCCTCAGATGTTAATAGTGGTTTTATAATCTGTTGGCCCTCTCCTTTTCATAGACATTTCAAACAAAATATTTTCCTTTATGTAAACAAGAGATCCAGTGTTCCTTTATTGAGTATCTCAATGAGAGAATCTACAATCCATTCTCCTGTATTAGCCAGAGAGACCTTTCAAAAACGTCTACAAAAATCAAAACAGAAGAATGGGTAAGCAAATTGTGGTATACCTAATGATCTCCTGATTGAAGCAACAGGAATGAATCTCAAAGTCACGCTAAGTAAAAGAAGCCAGACACAAAAGACTGCATACTGAATGATTCAATTTACATGACGTTCTAAACAGACAAATGAATCCATGGTGAAAGAAAAGATAACCATAGTTAAGGTGCCAGTATTAGGGATTGATTGGGAAGAGCAATAAAGGATCTTCCTGGGGTGACAGAAATATTTTATATCTTAGTAAGGGTGTGATCATACAGGTATATATGCGATCATGAAAACTCATAAAACTGTACACTTAAAAATCTGTTTATTTCACTGTATATGAACTATACCTCAATTTAGAAAAGGACTATAAAAATATGTATCTGCTCATGTCACTTATCCCCTGCTTGAAATCTTCCAGTGGCTTTCCATAACACTAAGAATAAAATCACACTCCTCAACATGACCTACAACATCTTACACGAATTAGGCCCTGCCTCCCTCTCCATCCTTAATCATTAAAATCCAGAAAAATCTGTTTTCTTTCTGTTTCTCAAATACACCTCAATCTTTCCTTATGGTTTTCACACTTTAGATTCCTTCTGCCTGGAATGCTCTTCCTGCAGGTTATTAGCTTCACCACACTCCAGCTCAAATGCCCAGCGTATCAGAGAAGGCCTTTCCCAATCATTGTATGCAGCATAACTCTCCCTCCAACATCCCCCTCCAAAATTCCTGGAAGGGCTCAATAAATTATTTGCTGAATAAATAAATGAAGGGATAACTGAAACACATGCCAAAATACAAATACCCACAGGGAACATAAATACCAGCTCAAGTTAGCTTTCATCATTCTTTCCATTAATACATACAAGTCTATTTGTTGATGTTGCTACATCTTCAAAGGTATTAGAGCTAAATGTATAAAATAAAGGGATGTGGAAAGTTATTACACACAGACACATGCAAACAAAAAGATAGCAGACATGGCAAGATTAGTAACAGATCATTTAAGGCAAAAATATTTAATAAAGATCATGTTACTATTAAAAGACACAATCACAAAGATAAGTCACAAATTACACACCAAATATCATGTCAAAACATACAAAACACAAAACAAACCAGAAATGCAAGGAAAATTTAAGAAAATCACATCATAACAGAATTTGAACATACTCTCACAGAAATTGAAAAGATCAAGACAACAGATAAAAATACAAAGATGAAGCATGCAATTCACAAGCCAGATTTAACAGACACATACAATTCCGAACCCAAAGGAATAATCCACTTGAAA